AAGAAAGGTAAACCCATTACCTTTCTATTGATTATAATATAGTTAAAATCGCTTAACTTTTTTATAGAAATTTTGCAACTTTTGAAACCGTCTATATATAAGTCGAAAAACGCAATCAAATTTTGCAAAGTTGTAATGGAACTGAATTTTTGTGAACCATTATAAATGATTTTCAACTTTTAATATATATCAAAAGAAAGATAAATCGATTACCTTTCTTTTGCTTATAATATTATTAAAATCGCTTAACTTTCTTATAGAAATTTTCCAACTTTTTAAACATCTATGTGCAAATGAGTAATGCTAATAATAAGAAATTAAGCCAGCGCATATGTATGTATGTAAAAATATATTTATTAATGTTAATTACAAGTTTTATTCATAATATTGGTTATTAAGTATGTATATTATGCATTTTGAAAATAAATTTTGCAAAATAAAAATCAAAACATTTTAGGATTTTTTATTTCAAGTTTCTAAGGTTATTTTGAATTCGCTGTGAAGAGAATGCAACCCTGAGCCGGCAGAAGGGGGCAATGCTAGAGCAGCAGCTATATGTCTTCCTTACGAAGGATCTGAATGAAAGCGACAGTGATGCAAGGCTCACACGTACAGGGGGAAAGTGGTGACAATCTGCAAACCGCCTATACAAATGTTACCAGTTTTGTCACCAGTTTTCAAGTGACCGAAACCCGCGGTTTCACCAGATTTTTCACCAGTTTTGGCTGGCAGGGTAGTGATATGCGTAGTTGGTAATATTGATGTCAATAAGGCAGGCACCCTTTGACAGCGCACGAAATGAATGACGTTGTATAGATTTGAATTTTTTCCACACTCGTGTCGTCCAGTAGCAATTCGCGAATTTTCTAAAAACCAACCCTAATTTGTATTCCGCGCAATCGGTATTCTGCCTAGTTATATAAAATCTTGAAAGTTGGTGAATAAATTATAAAGTTAGAGCGAAAATCCGTATTTTATTTTGAAACATACATCTGCCGTGTCGAAAACCCAAACGCGCCGTCCGATAATAATCGCCCCTACGGTTTGTGCATCCACAAAAAAGCACAGCAGTCACCGCCAGTGGCCGTATTGCCGTCCGCCACCCGCTCCCGAAATCGCCGTTTGTCAGCAGCTCCCGCATCATCGTCTGCCGCCAGCTTTTGCATCGCCGCCTGCCACCGTCGACCACATCGCCGCCGTCACTAGTTTCCTGGTTCGCCAGCACCCCCATCTGAGGGTCAGCTCACCCCCGCCGTTGTTTCATCTCGCCCTATTCCCCAAAAAGGCATACAGCCTAAACACTGGTCCTTCGTCGCCTTGAAAGAGCCAGCACCGTTATAGAAAATTTCTTTACATATATATGTTCATTTCTTTGCCTCGATTCCCGTAATTCTGCGACCGTATTGGTTTTTTAACAAGTTCATTTCTTCGAGTAAATAAATCCCGAAACGGTTCGCATATACCACTGTACATACAAGAAGATTTGCATATAGTACATATGTACATATGTACATACATACGCGGTAAATACATACTGTAAGACAGTAAAAATAAAAGACAGTAAAACTAAATTCTCTCCCAATTAAGCGAGCCTCTGTATGATTTAAAACCCGTTTGTGCATAATTCACTCACATCCCTTTTTATAACATATATCTCCTTTTTAATTTGTACAACAAAATATTAAAGTGAAACAGGTCCCTGCAAGACAGCTGAGCATCAAATAAGTGCTCATTTTATCATTATCACTAATTACAAAAGTGCTTATTAAAATACTCACTTTTGTTCAGGCCATGGGATAAAACTGAGCACTTTCCCTTTGTCGGTGTAATATTTTACCCCTTCTTACTAATTGGAAACTTTGATTAATGAAAAATATATCTGCTCTGCTCTAGCAACTACCAAAGTGCTTATTTTCGTTTTTATAAACACATCAGTGCTAATGAATAAAGTACTCATTGTTGTCATTAGCAAGTCCTCAGTGCTAATAAGCAAGCTACTCATTATTGTCGTTATAAACTCCTCAGCACTAATAATCAAACTACTCGTTTTTGTCGTTATAAACTCCTCATCACTAATAACACTATGCGACAGTCAAAATCGGGATGGGATGAAACCAACGGGAAATGTTATATCGGTCAAAAACAAGTTATACGTGGACCGGCGTTTCGCTGGGTCACGTCTAGGAATCGAGATATATCGATTTGAAGTTAGTAACTATCATATAGGGGAAATTGTCACCTTTGGTGGTCTTTTTTTTGACATAACTCGAGAACCACTAGTCCGATTTTGCTCAAACAAATTTAAAAAAATTAAAAATTACAATTCCTTTAATCTGTTAATATAACGTTTTTCTACATACTCAACAGTTTTGCCGGTAAAAATAAATGTATGAAAAAAAATTATTTTTGCCTAAAAATAAAATTTTTTTTTTAATTCATAAAATTCATTTTTTTCCGTTTTGGACTTTTTATGAATTTAAATATTTTGTTTTCTTCATACATTTATTTTTACCGGCAAAACTGTTGATTATATAGAAAAACGTTATATGAATTGTAATTTTTAATTTTTTTAAATTTGTTTGAGCAAAATATGATAGTTACTAACTTCAAATCGATATATCTCGATTCCTAGACGTGACCCAGCGAAACGCCGGGACACGTATAACTTCTTTTTTACCGATATAACTTTCCCCGGTGGTTTGAACCCTTCCCGATCACTGACCCCTACCATTTGTCTCACAGTGTAATCAAACTACTCATTTTTGTCGTTATAAACTCCTCAGTACAGGAAAAAAACAAATAAGTAGAAAATCAATATTTTTACTTTTAAAAATGAATTTGTTTATTTAAAAAACGTTTATTAATACAAAACTCGTATAGTACATATGTACAAACAAATATACTTTGTACATATCTATGGTCCTGTGCAATAATGACACAATTCAAAATTCAAAAAATAAAACCCTTACTACTGTTAAGTGGCTCATATATCTAATCCATGTCTAATATTTAGTACTTACTTTAGCAATCCTTACTGCTTACTTTAGTTAAGGTTGGAAATGGATTAGACGAGGATTACAGACAAGAGCCACTTAACAGTAGTAACAGTTTTTATTTTTGAATTTTGAATTGTGTCATTATTGCACAGGACCATTGATGTGGATGTGTATAACATTGCTGGTGCCGGCGATGAAGGTGATGTTGGTGGTGGCCTTAAAGTAATAGTGGCGATGTTGAAGGTGATTTTGCTGGTAAGGGCGGGGAATGTTTATGGTGCGATTTTGCTGGTTCCGGTGCTGAATGATGATGGTAGCGATACTTCTGTTACGGGTGTTGAAGGTGATGGTACGATGTTGGTGGTGGCATTAAAGGTGATGGAGGAGGTGTTGATTGATGATGAGTGCGATATCAGCTGGTGACGGCGTTAAAGATGATGGTGGCGATGGTAATTTTAATTGTTGCAAATCTGTAATAACGAGAAAATCAATTAAAATGCACAAATTAAGTAATTTACATATGTATGTACATACCTTAAAAATAATGATGCAAAGTCAACGGCAACGGCAACGGGAACATAAAATGAAATTTGAAATGTCTGTAAAATTATAAAAAAATATTTATACTCTAAAATTTTTATCAAATGTGACATTTTTCGTCAAAGCCTACTGTCATAAAAACTGCCATATTTCTTACTCGCTTTAACGCACATAATTCCTATAAAAGTAGGAATTCCGCTCTAGCAAATTAAAAATTTTTCAAAACTCGAATACCAAATTTATAAATGTGTGCGTGTGATAGCTAAAAAGTTGCGAAGGTGTGTGTAAATCTGTATAATTTGAGGGGAAACTGCTCAGCCATGGCTTGCATGGGTGCTTCGTGTATGCAAACATACATACACACATACATTTGTATGTACAACCCAATAAACATTGGGCTTGAGTAACTATTCGAAAATGATTGGAAAACAAATCTTTTTTTCCAGTCTCACCTTCGTTTACTAATGTAGAATAGGTGAGTATTCGATTCGAGAACTAGGCCATTCTCCAGCAAAACGGAACCTTCGTTATCCAATGTATTTTTCCTTCGTTAGGTATTCGAAATCCAGCCCATTATCGAATTGAAATTTTAATGAGAGAAAATGATTTTCTAATATTTCCTTACGAGAATGAGCTGGATTTCACTTTCTCTCTTTTTGCTATGGTTTTAATTTTTTTTCGATCCCATCTCAAATTTATTTCCAATATAGTATGAACGCTGGAAAACTAAGGTTGGTTATGAGTTCGTTTTTAGTTCGATATGCACATTGAATATCGAAGGTAATTTTCGAATGTTCGCCAAAATGTTTATAGGGAATACACAGGGCACAATAGACCTAAGGTCGCAGTGCACAGCCTCTAACATTCTATCTTATAGGGAATACACAGCTCACCTATAAGCACACATTCATATAATTAAATACAGTGTCACAAACTCGTGTTGTGATCTCAAATTATAATCTCACACTGAAATAACGTACAATGGCTTTCTACTTTACAAAAAAAAGAGGGTTCGTCTCTGAAATATTTAGAAGCGTATGCAACAAAATAAAAGCTGAAAATAACAATTACTTGCATATAATCCCTATGCTCCATGTTTAAGCAAATCTTCATGTAAACATACATATATAAACAAACATATTGTAAACTATCTCTACTAACACATAATTACATTATCCCAACAACATATATATACATTTAATACATTATATAATATAAAGTGCTATTAAGATAAAGGCTAATTCGGCGCATAGTTATACGGTACAGTGCAGGTACAGTGAAACGGTCCCCTTATATCCCTCAATAGACCCACAAAAAAAAAATAAAAATAAAAATAAAAATAAAAGACAATAAAATAAAACTATTCTCCAGCGATTTTATCAGTAGCACGTATCAAAGTGCAAACACCCTTTTTTATATATTTTGGCATTCGCAATTACGTAATTGCCTTTCATTGCGTTAGTTGTAGCCCCTAAATTTATCTCTGAGACAGACAATTTAATGGATTACTGTACCCGATTCAGTACAACTCAAATCCAAGACAATACTGAGTCTGCACTAAAAATTAAAGACAAGAACCTTGATAATTTTTGGAATCGAGTCCAGAGCGCATATGATTTAGTAGTAGAGACTGAGGAGCAGGACCTTCCCGAGGACTTCAAAGCCTCCGCTTATAATAAATACAGGTCATGCCTCATAACGTATGAAGATATGAAAGCCCAGATTGGTGATCAACTCCTGCTTCTTAATCAAGCAACCAATACCACGCCTACTCCCAGTATGTCTCAACCCCAGGAAAACTCTAGCTTCGGCTTAAAGGTCCCACCGTGCGATACGGAAACATTTTATGGGGGTTATGAGCAATGGCCGTCTTTTCGTGACATGTTCACGGCGGTATATATTAATCACCCAAAACTCACAAAAGCTCAGAAATCGTACCATCTCCGGTACAAGACTCAAGGCAAAGCCGGCCAAATAGTGAAACAATTCCCACTGAGCGATGATAATTTTGAGCTGGCATGGGAAGCCTTACGGTCTCGCTATGAGAATAAAAGAGTATTAGTTGACAACCAAATACGTATTCTCATGAATTTAAAATCTATTCAAGTGGAGAACAGTGAAGATATTCACAAACTCCAATCATCAGTGAATAACTGTCTCCAAATTCTCGCCACCCAACAAGTCTCTACAGAGAGATGGGACCCCATAATAATTTACCTCGTCACCTCAAAGCTTCCTGAGAACACAGTGGCTCTGTGGAAGCAATCTCTCAGTTCCAGGAAAGACCTTCCGAACTGGACCCAAATGAACCAGTTCCTAACCACTCGATATTAGGTGGTCGAAAGCGTTGATCAATGGCTCCCAGCCAAACCAAGACCCAATCCCCAAAATTCCATTTTAGTTAGAAACCCTCAACTGCACAACAGACCCCCCTTCAAACCTTCTCACTTTCAACAGTCGCATAATAAATCATCGACGCAAGTCCAATTGCATGTGACAGAATAGCGTACGATGTATAAATGTTCCATGTGCATAGATTCCTCGCACTCATTGTGGAACTGTCACAGATTCCGTAAATTGTCAGTTCAAGATCGCAGAAAATTCGTAAGAGAAAACACATGTGCTTTAACTGCCTCTCTCAGTCACACTCTCTGAAAGATTGTCCAAGTACTCAAAACTGCCCCAATTGTCGAGAAAGACACAACTCAGTGCTTCAGCACAGCACAGCCCCTCCGCCAAAAAGGGAAGACTCTCGAGTACAAAGGACCACATCGCAGGTAGCCATGACTGATATCCCGAGCCCCAACTTGCAAGCCCCACAAGAAACAGAAGAAAAAGATGATTTACCGTCAAGTTCTAATGGAACCAGAGTATAATCGTACTACTCTGAAAATGAGAGTAAAGTCCTTCTCCCTACAGCGATAGTCTCAGTAGAACAGAGAGGAGAACTATTTAAACTCCGAGCTCTCATCGACCAGGGCTCAGAACGGAGCTTCATTTCTTCTAAGGCCCAAAACAAACTGAGATTACCATGTCAAAGCTCGAACTTTGAAATCTCCGGCATGGGTGGGACGGTAGTTCAGACTTCGAACAAAATCTGTTCTCTGGACTTAGTCTCCTCCAACTTGGCTACAAAAGTCACTGCTCAAGCAATTTTGCTACCCCAACTAACAAAAATACTCCAAGGATTCCAGCCAACTCGCGAACAACGCGAGAAGTGGTCTCATATTAAGCTAGCAAGACCCCAATTGTCATTCCCCATCTCAAATCGACCTAGTGATAGGCAGCGATCTCATCCCGCAAATCATGCTTGAAGGCATGGAGCATATCTCAAAAAAATCTGTTAGCACAAAATACTACAACAACTTCTGGAGTCCCAACTACGAAAGTTCTGGGAGGTAGAAGAAGTGCCGACACCCAACCTCATGAGTCCTGAAGATAAGCTATGTGAGGAGTTATACCAATCCACTACATCGCGCACACCTGAAGGTCGCTACGTAGTCCGGCTTCCTTTCAAGCCAAGCTTCCCGAAGGAAATATCTTTAGGTCAATCTCGCACCACAGCTCTCCAGCAATTTTTCAGTCTGGAGAGAAGTCTTCAAAAAAAACCGACTTTAAGCCCCTGTATGATAATGTCTTAGGGGAATATCTCACCCTAAATCATATGCAAGAAACAGCTTCCTATGAAAAATCCTCAGAAGGAAAATATTATTCCTTCTACCTCCACCACCACGCGGTTGTCAAACCCGAAAAAAGAACCACCAAGGTACGTGTCGTATTTAATGCATCACGAAGATCAGGTTCCGGACTCTCTCTTAATGATGTTCTCTATACCGGACCAACACTTCAACCCGATCTGATGCTATTAATCCTCAAATGGCGCACGTATCAGTTTGTGTTCAATGGCTATGTAGAAAAAATGTATTGTCAGATACTTTTACATAAAGACCACCAGAATTACCAGAGAATTATATTTAGATCATCTCCAAGCAGCCCCATTCGAGACTACAGGTTAAAGACCGTAACATTCGGTGTAAATTGTGCACCATTTCTCGCAATACGCACTATTCACCAACTCTCTGATGATGTAAAAATAACACATCTCTTGGCGGTGCCAATACTAAAATCCGAAACATATGTGGACGACATACTTTCTGGAGGTCACGACCTCATCTCAGCAACTAAATCTTTCTCTGAAGTCATTCAAGCTCTAAAATGCGCTAGCTTCCCCTTAAAAAGATCACGGCGAATCACCCTGATTTGCTCAAAGACATAAAAAAGGAGGACTTACTTGATAGCTACTTTCTCGTATTCGAAAAAGGAAGTACCACCAAAACCCTCGGGATTCAATGGAATGCCATTACTGACTCCTTCTCTTACACCATTGAATCCATATCAGCCTCGTCGGCGAGCACAAAGCGACAAATTCTCTCTTCTGTCGCTAAACTTTTCGACCCCGCAGGATGGCTCTCGCCAATAAAGATTCAAGCCAAAGTTCTCTTACAAGAGCTATGGCTCGATGGAACTGACTGGGATGAACAAGTCAAACCCTTCCGCCTCCATAAATGGTTGAATTCGCCAACAATTTGAAGTCTATCTCGGCATTCAAATATCCCGATGGGTCAATTACGTTCCAGGCCAACAAATGGAGCTACATGATTTCTGCGACGCTTCGGAAATAGCGTATTGCGCAGCCATATACGTCGGAGCCACATAAGGTGCACGAGTCTCTTCCCACCTACTGGTGTCAAAAGGCAAGGCTGCGCCCCTCAGAACCATTAGCCTACCTCGGCTCTCCTTCTAGCTAAATTAGCCTCAGCTGTCCAATCTCAACTTGGTTTCTCAGATCGAAAACTGACAATGTGGTCAGATTCAGAAATAGTCCTGGCTTGGCTGGAAAAACCGCCCCACTCCTGGAAAACCTACGTCTCGAACCGCACCGCGCAAATCATTGATCTGGTAGGAAATTCCACTCGGAGGCATGTATGCAGCAGCGGAAATCCCGCGGATATGGGAACAAGAGGATGCAAACCCCTCGAATTAGCCTCCTCTTCTCTGTGGTGGCATGGGCCCAACTGGCTAACCCAACCAGCCGACACCTGGCCAAAATCCGCTACGCGCTCTATTAACCCACCGGAAGTCCGTCGAGTCGACGAATTTCCCACTGCCGAAGATGATACCGACATTTGAGATCGCTTTTCGTCTTTCTTCCGCATGCTTAAAGTTATGGCATATGTCTTCAAATTTTTAGATCGCTTAAAGAACCGAAATCAAGCTGCCCAGGATCCTCCCACATTATCCCTATCGCATAATGATTTCCCTTCCACCAAACGCGGTCTCATTACCTTAACTCAAAACCGTTACTTCCCCCGAGACATCTCATGCTTATCGCAGTCAGTGCCAATCGCTAAGACAAGCCCACTGCTAGTTATCAACCCCTTTTTAGACAAATGTGGGTTACTCCGGGTCAATAGTCGTTTGGCCCACTCCACTCTTAGCTATAATGAGCGTCATCACCTCATTATACCCAAAAAATCTCGATTTGCTGTTCTCTATCTTCGTTTTCTCCACGAGCTCCTCTTAAACGCAGAAATTTGGCTCATGTAGCAAATGATAAGACAGGAATTCTACATTCCCCGACTCAAGCCTCTTATAAAAAAGTGCATTTTTCAATGTAAAGCTCGTACCACCCACAAGCACCAAACGCGCTCTCTAATCATGGCGGCGTTGCCACCAGAGCGTTGCACATACGCTCCGCCTTCCACCACTACCGGTGTAGATTTTGCTGGGCCTTTTCAAGTAAAAGCCTCCATGCTAAGGTCCTCCATCATTGTGAAAGGCTACGTGGCCGTATTTGTGTGTTTCACCACAATGGCGGTTCACCTTGAGCTGTGTTCCGATTTAACAACAAACGCATTTCTCGCCGCGTTTGCCCGGTTTGTTGGGCGTCGAGGCTATCCATCAAGAATGATGAGCGATAATGGCACTACTTTCATTGGAGCCAAAAGAGCAACAGAGAAGGAATTCTGTAGTTTCCTGCAAGAAGTATCCCAAGACATCGTCAAGCACTACTCTCCCCAAGGCATTGAATGGAGATTTATCCCCCCCCTGGGAATCCGCCGTCAAAAGCTTCAAGCTACATCTCAAACGGACGGATGGAGCACACAAGTTCACATTTGAAGAATTCACCACTCTTTTAGTTAGGATCGAAGCGGTATTAAATTCCCGTCCCATCTCCGCTCTCTCCCAAGATCCAACAGAATTCACGGCCCTCACCTCTGGCCATTTCCTAAGGGGAACTGCCCTCTTGTCGCTTCCGGAAGTAGATCATAGCAAATTTGTCTCTCCTCAATAGGTGGAAAAGAGTTAAAGTTATGCACCATCAATTCAGCCGCCGTTGGAAGGAAGATTATCTCAAAGACCTTCAGAAACGTTATAGGTGGAAAGACACTAAAGCTTCACCGAAAGTTGGAGAATGCGTCCTAATTATAGATGATACGTTGCCACCCACTGAGTGGCGTCTTGGACGCATCGAAGCGACACATCCCGGTCCAGATGGACATATTCGCGTAGTTTCCGTACGCACCAAAACCGGCATCCTCACTCGGTCGATTGTAAAGCTATGCCCTTTCCCATACGCAAATGTCCCTCTATCTCCCATAGCAGATAACTAAATAACCTTTCAACGACAGCCTTATACCCGCACTGCTTCCCTACATTTGTTTACCACAATGACTTGACAGGCAATACACTTATATGCTTATCCCTCTGCCTTCTTAACCAGTGTCTAACACCCCATTATTAATAGCCCAAGAGCCCGCGACTGCCAGACCTTCGTTATTTTATAAAGGCTGAAAGCTGCTCTATATACGCCCCCAACACAGGTAATAACAAACCCAGACTATGAAATTTGGGTAGTGGTGGCTTTGGCAGGTACCAGGTAGTAAAGGTGTATAAAATACCACCTCAAATTCGTGATAGTATAAAGGTCAGATTTTATATATTTTACTCGTAATAACATTAGAAACCACGTCGTTCATTGCCAGACACTTAGCATGGTTCCTAACCCCTGCCAGGCACCCTTAAACCATGAAAAATTTAAGTTACACTTTCGTCATAGTATAAAAGCTGATTTTTATATATGTCACTTGGGGAACTATCAAAAGATGTTTCTTCACTTGCCAGACCGTTTCGATAGTTCCTTCATCTTGCCAGACGCTTTAAAGGCGTAGGTGCGAGCACGAAAAAACTGATAAAAATTATACTTTGTTAGTTACTTATCGGAGACGGCGGTGCTTACAAGTTGAATTCCAATTTCTTACAAAAGCCAATGGCTATTCACTATGCCACAAAGCCAATTTATTTAAACAAATAAGTTTTGAATGGTCAAATGAAAGTATGCAATAATTTTTTGTATGAAGTAGGAGCAGGAAATAATGTTACTCAAACGCCATATCGTACAAGGCCGTAATCGTAAATACTCGTATATGGCGTATGAGTAAGATTTTCTATGTTAAAGGTTTTTTTTTTCATTCGCAATGCAAAATCCGTAATGTATGGCCCAAAATTAAGTATACGTGACTCTGCGCTTTTTTCTGACATTTTTGCGCTCCTATAGTGTAATAGGCAATCCAACTAACAAATTATTTTATTGTAGCGAAATAAAAAGAAAACAAAACTAAGTCAAGTAAGATTTCAAATATGTGTGTATGTATTTTTGTATTAGGTATCAACGGCATAGCTGGAGGTAGATTGTCTGGAAGTACACTGGTCGATTTCTCTTTTTTTACTTTTTTTCCAGAATTGAAACGTTCACAAGTGGAAAATTTTGTCATAAGTCCTGTGAATGCTTTATAGCATTCCCAGTGATAACCACTGTCTGTATATTCATCAGGCAAAATAACATCTTTATATTTAAGGTAATGTTTTTTTCTGGTTTCAAAACAGTTTGACATTTTTTTAACGTCTCCTCAGAAAACAATATTATTTTCTTATCACTTTTTTACAAACGGCACAATTAAAACGTCTTCCATGGTAATATACTGTTACAAGAACAGAACCAACCGTGATACAAAAAAGCAGCTAGTTTTTTTTTTAATTTTTGACGTTTAATACATTTTTTTTTAAGTTTCATAAATTGTGAGCTTTATCATCAGGACTTACTGCGCTGGTAATATTAAAACAGTACATTGCAGTTTTTTTGTCATATATGTGCATAATAATATTCTAATTCAAAATAAATTATCGTACTTACGTGATTCACACCAAAATAAAACGCATACACATAATTTTTTTCATAAAAATTAAAATATCTTGTGTCTCGACGTTTTTTGGGTCATTTGAAAACTTGAAATTTTCCCTACAATGTTATAAAAATAATTTTCCCTCCTATAGTAAACAATAAGTTTTTAATACAGTGTCGAAATTATAATTAAATTCAATTTAAAAACAGTTCGTAAGGCTCCAACACATTATTAATTAACTTACTAGATTTTATTTTATTGACATGGACATTTTATTCTAATGCCTTTTTTTCTCAGATATACTCTTTTTATAGAATATACTCTTTTTATAGAATTTTATTTCTTATAAAATTTTGCAAAAAATAGGCTTTGTGGCACAGCGAATAGCCATTGGCTTTTGTAAGAAATTGGAATCGCCGTCTCCGATAATTAACTAACAAGGTATAATTTTTATCAGTTTTTCATACTGGCACCTACGCCTTTAAAGCGTCTGGCAAGATGAAGGAACTATCGAAACGGTCTGGCAAGTGAGGAAACATATTTTGATAGTTCCCCAAGTGACATATTTGAAAATCAGCTTTTATACTATGACGAAAGTATAACTTAAATTTTTCATGGTTTAAAGGTGTCTGGCAGGGGGTATGAACCATGCTAAGGGTCTGGCAATGAACGGCGTGGTTTCTAATGTTATTACGAGTAAAATATATAAAAACTGACCTTTATACTATCACGAATTTGAGGTGGTATTTTATACA